AAAAAACAGGCTGGGCACAATGGTTTAGGGCTGTAATTCGAGCAGCTTGGGAGGCTGAGGTGGGAGGATTGCTTGAGCCCAGGAGTTAAAGACCAGCCTGGGCAACATAATGAGACCCTATCTCTACAGAAAAATTAAAAATCAGCTGGGCTTGGTGGCATATGCCTGTAGTCCCAGCTATTCCAGAGGCTGAGATAAGAGGATCTCTTGAGCCTGGGAGGTTGAGGCTGCAGTAAGCCGTGATCATGCCACTGCTCTTCAGCCTGGGTGACAGAGCGAGACTTCATCTCCAAAAAAAAAAACCAAAAAAAAAACCCAAAAAACAATTACAGACTAATATCATGTATGATTGTCAAGGCTAAGAGACTGTAGTAGTCTTCTAGGACTGCCAAAACAAATAACCCTGACTGGGTAGTTTAAACAACAGAAATCTCACAGTTCTGGAGGATGGAAATCTGAGATCAAAGTGTTAGCAGGTTTGGTTTTCTTTACAGTCTCTCTTCTTGTCTTATAGATGGCTGCCTTCACCCCGTGTCCTCGTACGGTCTTCCTTAAGTGTATGTCTGTGCCCCAATCTCCTTTTCTTAGAAGAACACAGACATATTGGATTAGGGCCTATCACAGAGTCCTCATTTTAACTTAATTACCTCTTTAAAGACTTTATCATCAGATAAGATTGCATTCTAAAGTATGTCAAAGTTAGGATGTCAACATATGAGTTTTAGGGGTATACAATTCAGCCCATGACAGGTAGTAAACAAAATATTAAGGTGGGCATGATGCCTCATGCCTGTAATCCCAGCACTTTGGAAGGCTGAAACGGTTGGATCACGAGGTCAGGAGTTCAAGACCAGCTTGACCAACATGGTGAAACCCTTTCTCTACTAAAAATACAAAAATTAGCCAGGCGTGGTGGCACCTACCTGTAATCCCAGCTACTCAGTAAGCTGAGGCAGGAGAATTACTTGAACCCAGGAGGCAGAGGTTGCAGTGAGCCAAGATTGCGCCACTGCACTCCAGCCTGGGCGACAGAGCGAGATTCCATCTCAAAAAAAACAAAGCCAAAAATTAGAATTGGGTTCAGTGGTTCATATCTATAATCCCAGCACTTTGGGAGGCCAAGGTGGGAGTATTGCTTGAGGACAGGAGTTCATTACCAGACTGGGAAGCATAGTGAGGCCTTTGTTTCTACAAAAACATTTTAAAACTTAGCCAGCATGGTGGTATGTACCTATAGTTCCAGCACTGGGAAGGCTGAAGAGGGGAGGATTGCTTAAGCCTAGAAGGTTGAGGCTGCAGTGACCCATGATTATACCACTGTACTCTAGCCCAGGCAAGAGAGCAAAATCCTATTTCAAAAAAAAAATTAGTAAACAGACTCTAACACCTCATTAAGAAAATAATGCAGCATATCCAAATACCATTTGATCCTAGAATGTAAGGTTGGTTCGGTATTTGGAAATTCATGACTATCATATACTATATTAATAGATTTAAGAAAAAATATGATTATCTTCATAGAATTTGGAAAATAATTGACAAAATTCAACACATTGCTGATTTTTGAAAATATGAAGAAAATAAAAATTGCTGTATACTTTTTTTTCTTTCTTTCTTTATGGAGATAGAGTCTCGCTGTGTTGCCCAGGCTGGAGTGCAGTAGCATGATCTTGGCTCACTGAAACCTCTGCCTCCTGGGTTTAAGTGATTCTTATGGCTCAGCCTCCCAAGTAGCTGGGACTACAGGCATGTACCACCATGCTTGGCTTTTTTTTTTTTTTTTAATTGTGTTTTAGTAGAGATGGGTTTTCACCATGTTGTCCAAGCTGGTCTTGAACTCCTGAGCTCAGGCAATCTGCCCATCTCAGCCTCCTAAAATGCTAGGATTATAGGCATGAGCCACTGCACCCAGTCCGATGTATCCTTTCTTAATGTGATAAAACATATATGTTTTGGTTCTTTTTTTTTTTTTTGAGACAGAGTCTCACTCTGTCGCCAGGCGCCAGGCTGGAGTGCAGTGGCACAATCTTGGCTCACTGCAACCTCCGCCTTCTGGGTTCAAGCAATTCTTCTGCCTCAGCCTCCTGAGTAGCTGGGACTACAGGCTCATGCCACCATGCCCAGCTAATTTTTGTATTTTTAGTAGAGACAGGGTTTCACCATGTTGGCCAGGATGGTCTCAATCTCTTGACCTTGTGATCTGCCTGCCTTGGCCTCCCAAAGTGCTGGGATTACAGCTTGAGCCACCACACTCGGCCTATTTTTTTTTCTTAAACAAGGTCTGGCTCTGTCACCCAGGCTGGAGTGCAAGTGGCACAATCTTGGCTCACTGCAACCTCCGCCTCCTGGGCTCAAGCCATCCTCACACCTCAGGCTCCCGAATAGCTAGGACCACAAGCACATGCCACCATGCTCGGCTAATTTTTGTATTTTTTTTGTAGAGATGGGGTTTTACCATGTTGCTTAGGCTAGCCTTGAACTCCTAAGCTCAGGTGATACACCCACCTTGGTCTCTCTCCCAAAGTGCTGGCATTAAAGGCATGAGCCACTGCACCCAGCCTGTATGCCTTAGTTCTAAACCAGCATTTTAGAGAGAAACATTAGAGGCATTTTTATTAAAATTAGAAACAGGAAAGGGCACTCAGTGTCCATGAAGATGAGCCCATATGTGGCGTCCATCTCTGGCAATATGGCCACTCCATTTTTGTGCTTATGTTTCCACTCCTGGGGTGGCTGATGACAAGGGCTGGCTAATGTCAACAGAGGGAGTCATTTTGTCTGTGCAGTCATCAGTGCGTCTTTGGAGTTGAAAGCTTTCTGCTGAGCACAGCATGTACTTCAGAGATCATTCCTTATTTTACCCACTCCCATATGCCTACCCAAATGCCTTTTCCTCAGACCTCCATGTCCCTGGCCTTCCAGGTCCCTGACACAGTCAAGTCACTTGCTGCTGCCCATGAGTCCAGATATATTTTTATCTTGGGCTGCTTTTCTTTCTACACAACACACATACCCAGGTGCATGCTCAACATTTTGCCCATTGGGAAGGGTTCCTCTCTCCACTGTCTTTCACGGTCACCCCTGAGTGTGGCTACAGTGGTGCTGCCATCCATTTGTGGCTTGAACTTACTCACTGAGTCAACCCAAGATAAGTCAAGTTCACGCATTTTCTTCCTGCTTCAAATGGTTGTATGAGACCCTCCCCCCTTTGCATATGGCCATTAGTGTAAGTTGAGGGAGAGATACTGGTGCAACCATGGTGGATGACCAAGGTCTGGCTACCTGCTCATGTGGTTTATCTGTACCCTCTTGTCCTGCTTGGGCTCGATCCAGTTGTACGATTTCCATTTTTTGATAGATTGTACCTGAGCTTGCTTGATCTTATGATTTGATGAGTTTGACAGAAGCCAGCAGTTCTGGATTCACAAGCACTTGCTACTTCATGGTCAAACATTCAGTCTCTTCCAGGGCCCAGTAACAGACAGGATACCCTTCTTCCAAGTCCCCTGAGCCTGCACTGTGATGCTCCCTCTGGAGCTTGGCATTAACTCCTTACTGAATCTCCTCCGCCATTGATACCTCCAGCATCTTTGGGCCTGCTGGACCGTATGGTCCAAAGCCGGGCTTCTTTGCCTGCAGCCTGGGCCTCCTGCAGAGCTTTTTCCTGCTCTAGGCCACATTCAAAGAAGGTAGTATTCTGTGTCACTTGGCATGTGGACTGGAAAAGCAGTCCTGAGTGTGGAACTGTTGCCTCCAGGATCCAGTGGGGCTTCTTTCTTTGTGGTGAGGGATGTAAGAAGTAGCAATTTGTCTTTCACTTTGTAGGAGTATCCCCGTATGCCCCTGACCACCATACCCCAAATGTCATATTGATGGGGCAAGCCCCCAAATCTTTCTATGGTTTATCTCTCCCCTTCCAAAGAGGGTCTTACAGAGGCCTTACATCACGCCGCTGGCATGTTTGCCATGGGATCACCATGATGTCATCATTTTAATATAATATATATTATATTATATTATAATATAATATAATATAATATAAATGTCATCATTTAAT